CTCGTCATCCGGGACCTACAACTCCTTCTTGTAGTGTCCCTACCTACCCGCGGAACTAATCACTCCACCCCGGTCCTTGGCCTTCTCCTACAACCCGATTTCTCGGGTTTGCCCGAGACCCCTAGTCCTTCCACCATACCCCTTTCGGGGTATCCCGAGTTAGAAAATCTAACTCCATCATCCTAACCGCTACCCTTTTCTCCTCTGCCGACACCTAGGATTCGAATTTGCATCCGAGACCTCGCTACAAGGCACATCCTACTGGAGGATTACAAGAACATGAGGTTCCTAGCACTTGACTCCTTATTTGTCTCTATTTGAGACCCGGAGCACCCGATGCCTAAACCTTTGGCCCTATTGACCAAGGGAAAAGAATCGTACGGCCTCCCATAACCTCGGTTTCCCGAGCTGGAGTATCTTGGCTCACCCCACCTGCCTTATCCTAAGGGATGATTTATCCCTTACCGTGTCTACTAACCGAGGACTAACTGGTAACCCTAGAAGTATCCTAGGATGATAAAACCTGAGTCTAAAAAAGGACTCTACATGGAAGTGACTTAACTGACCCTAGGAGTGACTAAACCATGACCTAAGGGAAGAGACCGAATCCTAGAGGACTTAACCCTAGGTATGTTTCTACCTAGTCGTGCTTAAACACGCTCTAACCCTAGTCTATCGGTCCTAATCCTAGGTACGTCTCTACCTAATCAGACCTACAAGACCTAGAGAACACGACCTGACCGGACTTAACCTAGGCACTCAACCTAAACCGATCTAGTGGACCTTAAACCAAGTCTAACTGGACAACACCCTAGGTACATATTACCTAAACGGATCTAACACACTCTAGACCAGACCTGATTGGACTTAACACAAGGTATATTTCTACCTAACCGACCTCCTAGACTCTCGCACAAACCTGATTGGACTTACCCTAGGCATAATTTTGCCTAACCGACCTATTAGACTCGAAACACAGCCTACCTTAAGACCTGATTACGTCTAACCAGACCTAACTTAAGGCTAACCGGACCTGATTACGTCTAATCAGACCTATAACACCGAGTCTACATGGCCCCCAACACAGTCCTAACCAGTCCTACGATCCCGAGTCTACCCGGCCCCTCACAAAGTCCTAATCAGACCTACCCAAGTGCTACCTAGATCCTAACAGCCCTAGTTAGACAACCAAAAGTCCCGACTAGACCATCACACGACCCTAATCAGACCTAAGCCAACCCTAGTCGGCCAACCCCTGATTAGATGACCCTAAGTCCTATTCAATCACCTAAAAGTCCTAATCATTAAACCTAAGCCACCCCTAATGACTTACCAACCCCTGATTAGACCTTTTAGCACCCTAATCAGACTTAAACTAAGCCTAATTGACCTAATTTAATTCTGATCAGACCCTATATATGCCTAAAACCAACTCCTACAGACCTGCCCTGATCTAAACCGA